GTGTCGCCCTCCTCATCCTATCAACATGCTTCACATTGGTGGTCGTCTTAGGTTCGAATCGGCGGTGTCCTTGAGTATGTATCGTGTGCCTGTCGCTCGCCTGGTGGAACAACTACGAGCTATGAGTGGGTCGAGGAAGAGGCCGTCTATGACAGGTTCATGTGGGGCTCGGACACCTCCTATGGTGACTACCCCTACCTGATACCGTACCATTCGCGCCATTCACCCCAATTGAATTTTATGCGTTTTTTCTCTTGTCGTGTTTTGTTATTTGTACCCTCCTCCTCGTCCTTCTCGAGTCAATCACCACCATCGCAAGCATTGCTGTAAGGGGCGCTGTTGAGACCTCCGACTGTGGATAAGGACGATTCTTGACTAATGTGTGTGCATCTGTTGCTAGACATCATTGTTGCCTATAACCGTGGAACATACAATAGCCGATTTCTGCTATTGTGAGGAGACTCCTCGACTACCGCACACAACACAGAGAACATAGAATCGATTTTACTAACGGGTGCAACGTAGAAGCGTGGATTAAGTATATGATGCAGTAAGCTAAGAATCATAATGCTACCCGAGCTGCTGCTGACGTAGAGTATGACACGATAGTCATGATGCATACACCATGGTGATACATCGAATAACGAGTAATTAATTGGAACCTTCCTGTAGCATCAGTCATGAATGATGATTAAAGATGAGGTATGGTCAGTAAGACCTCTCCACTACTATGACTGACACCCAAGCTCGAATGATGGCTGCTTTTACGATCCACTATCTGCTGATGAGGCTCCCGGCTTCTTTCTCCTGCCAGTTTTCCAACCCGACCGTTGAGCCCTTCGAGTGGCCGACTTTTGACTTGCCGTTTAACTCGGAGGCTCTGTATGGTCTACTGCCTACTCGTCTTCGGGTCCTTGGACGCCGCCCTTTACCGTCAGCAGCAGCAGCAACGACATCAGAAGACTTTCTGGTATCAGCAACTGTCGCCAGAGGAGGCTCACCCGATGCAAGGCCGCTCCTCCTACCAGTTTGACGAGTACTTCATATACTGCGTTACCTTTCGTATCTTGGGGGGGTCTACTAGGAAGAGTTGATCGTGCATGGTCGTCACGTGCTTCGCTCCGCTGAATTTTTGGAAAATCTGTAGCATTTTTTACGACACCTCTTCACTTGGATTGTTCCTTGTACATCGTGTTGCGTTGTGAGTCGGAGTGAATGGTTATTTCGCTGTAGACGTAGGTTGTACTTCCCTATGAGTGACAGCTCTGACTCGGAGTTCTCAGTGGATGACACTCTGGTAGGAGAGGAATGCCTCTGAGGGCGAGCCTTGACTGAGCTTCAATCAGGCCCAGACCCAGCATGTTGGACAGGAGGAGGAGGAAGGGGACTCGATGGGAGAGGATGCCCCTATGGAGGATGTTGGGGAAGCTGATGTTAAGAGTGATGATGATAAAGATGCCAGTGATGACGACTCGGACTTGTTCGGCTCTGATACGAGTACTAACGGGGCTGTTGGAGCTTATCCTGCCAGTTGGGGGAGGACCTTCGTGATGCTGCATTCAATTCGGAATTGTATCTACTAGTCAGTGAAGGTTGGTAGTGCTGATGGGCATGTGATGAAAAGGCCCTGTATTAGTCAAGTTCAGTTCATTCGATAGGGTAAGGTCAGTTGACTCGTATTTAGGCTCGTCTCAGTCTGGAAGCGAAGCTGGTGGTGACGAAGCTAAAGGTAGGATGCTCGTATGTGGATCCTGTTATTGGACTCTTCAGATGATGAGTTGTTCGAGGAGAAGGTCGCAATGGAAGAGGATGCGGATCTAGAGTAGTAGAGGGGCTCCTGGGGTCATCGACACGCCACACTGTGCGCTTTCGATTTGCGGTTGGGGGGGGACCGCTCGCTGGTGTCGTGGTCTGATATACCTCCACCTTGTGTCAGTGACGATGACGATGTGGAGGACGAGATTGTCCAGGACGACTCCTGGGCAGTGGCTGATGCGTATTTCAAAGACAAAGGTACGGCTTCCGCTCCAGCTGATGATGGGGATCTCAACGATCAGGTCTGGTATCACAGCAAGTGGGCTCATTCGATGACTTCGTGACCTATAAGATGCAGGA